ATCAATTTTTTTTGGTTCTTGGCTGTTGTTGCTTCGTGATTCTGGATCGTTATAATCTTCTGTATTACCGCTCCTTCCAAATCGTGGATTTGATCGTGCTGTTGTTCGTTGGTTCGTGGGTATTGTTTCTTGTTGCTTCTCTCATGGCTTCCGAAAAAGAAAGAGATAATTTTTGTGTTCGTTTTACCGGCAAGAATTATTCGGCATGGGAATTTTAGTTCAAGATGTATGTTAAAGGAAAGGGATTATGGAGTCACTTAGATGATGCTTCTAAGGCACCAACGGAGAAAACTGCTTTAGATGCGTGGGAAATTAAAGATGCTCAAATTATCACTTGGATTCTAAACAGTATTGATCCTCAAATGATAAATAATTTGCGTTCTTTTTCAACTGCTCAAGAAATGTGGAATTATCTGAAGCGCATTTACAACCAGGACAATTCGGCAAAACGTTTTCAGTTGGAGTTAGACATCGCCAACTACAAACAAGGTGATTTGTCTATTCAAGAATACTATTCTGGTTTTTTGAATCTTTGGGCAGAACACTCCGCTATTATACATGTTAATGTTCCCAAGACCTCTCTTGCGGCTGTTCAAGAGGTCTACAACACAAGTAGGCGAGATCAATTCCTCATGAAGCTTCGTCTAGAATTTGAGGTTGTCAGAGGTGCTTTGCTAAATAGGAATCATGTTCCTTCTTTGGATACATGTGTTGGTGAACTTCTCAGGGAGGAACAACGTCTCCTTACTCAAGGAACCATGTCTCATGATACTGTCATTTCTGAGCCTGTGGCAATTGCATATGCTGCTCAAAGTAGAAATAAAGGTCGTGATATGCAACATGTCCAATGTTTTTCTTGCAAACAGTTTGGACATATTGCTCGTAGCTGCAGTAAGAAGTTTTGTAATTATTGCAAACAAGAAGGTCATATCATTTCTGACTGTCCCACACGTCCTCCACGACCAGCACATCATTCGGTGAAGGCATTTCATGCCACTACAGGCCATACAATTGTCTCTTCCACCACTGATGCATCAGATGGCAATGCTCTACAACCTGAAATGATTCAACACATGGTACTTTCTTCCCTTTCAGCCTTGGGTATTAAGGGTAAGTCTTCTCATGTTTCTCGTCCATGGTTTATTGATTCTGGTGCATCCAATCACATGACAGGTTCATCTGAAAACTTGCACAATTTACATTCTTATCATGGTAATCAGAAAATTCAGATTGCCAATGGTAATACCTTGTCTATCACTAACGTTGGGGACATAAACTCGGATTTTCAGAATGTGCTTGTCTCACCTGAACTTGCCTAATTTATTGTCTGCTGGTCAATTGGTGGACAATAATTGTAATGTTAACTTTTCTCGGTCTAGTTGTCTTGTGCAGGAGCAGGTGTCGGGGAAAGTGGGAAGATTGTTTCCAATACAATTTATTTCTAATCATTTGTCTCTTGCTTGTCATATTGTTTTGAATTCCTATGAGGATTGGCATAGAAAACTAGGTCATCCAAACTCTTTTATTTTGTCTCATTTATGTAAAAGTGGCTTGTTGGGAAATATAAATGTTACTCCTGATGCCTCTGTTTCATGTTCTGTTTGCAAATTGGCTAAATGTAAAACACTTCCTTTTCCGTCTGGTGCTAATCGTGCTTCCACTTGTTTTGAGATGATTCATAGTGATGTATGGGGAATTTCTCCTGTGGTTTCTCATGCTCACTATAAATATTTTGTCACATTTATTGATGATTATAGTCGTTTTACTTAGCTATATTTTCTACGTTCTAAATCCAAAGTGTTTTCTATGTTTAAGAAATATTTGACATATGTTGAAACTCAATTTCAAGCAAGTGTTAAAATTTTTCGATCTGACTCTGGTGGTGAGTACATGTCTCATGAGTTTCAGGAATACCTTTAACAAAAAGGCATCTTGTCTCAACGGTCTTGTCCCAATACCCCTCAACAAAATGGCATGGCAGAGCGTAAGAATCGTCATTTGCTTGATGTAACACGCACCTTACTTCTCCAAGCTTCTGTATCATCCCGATTTTGGGTGGAGGCTCTTTCTACGACTGTCTTCTTGATGAATCGTATTCCTTCTACAATTATTGATCTTGATTCTCCTTTCTTCCGTCTATTTAAAATTCATCCTGATTATAGTGCTTTACATACTTTTGGGTGTGTGTGTTTTGTTCACTTACCTCCTTTTGAAAGGCATAAGCTTGGAGCACAATCCGTTCAATGTGCATTTATGGGATATAGTAACTCTCATAAGGTATTTGTGTGTTATGATGTCTCTAACCATCGTTTTCGCATTTCTAGAAATGTGACATTTTTTGATAATCAGTTTATGTTTCCCTGTGGTTCTCCTGCCATTAATGATATTGTTACTCTTCCTAAGTTTTCTATTATACCTCAAGCTATAGAACGTTATAAACCAGGTCATGTATATGTCAGAAAACACAGACAACAGGTTCTCATACCCCTTCCCGATGCTGAACTGTCACCTGATCCTGTACCGGTTGAACCACGATGTTCTGGTCGAATATCTCGCGCACCAGACAGATATTCACTAGATAGGTATGATTCCTCATATACTTCTCTGAATTCCACACTCTCTAGCATATTTATTCCTACTTGTTACTCACAGGCTGTTAAAGATGTGCGATGGATAAAAGCAATGACTGAAGAGCTCGAAGCTCTTCAAGAGAATTTCACATGGGATATCGTCACTTGTTCTCCAGATGTAAAACCTATAGGTTGCAAAGGGTGTATTCTGTGAAATTGAATTCTGATGGGTCCCTCAACCGTTACAAGGCTCGTTTGGTTGTGTTAGGAAACAAGTAGGAATATGGAATTGATTATGATGAGACATTTGCACCGATTGCCAAAATGACAACTGTCCGCACGATCATGTCTATAGCTGCTTCTAGTGGGTGGACTCTTCATCAAATGGATGTGAAGAATGCTTTTCTTCATGGTGACCTGACAGAAGATATTTACATGACTCCACCTCAAGGTTTATTCTCTTCATCTAAAGGCGTGTGTAAGCTCAAACACTCCTTATATGGTTTGAAACAGGCACCTCGAGCATGGTACGAGAAATTCCACTCCACTATACTTGGATTCTCCTTTACTCAGAGTCAGTATGATTCATCTTTATTTATTCATAGCAAATCTGCGGGTATTGTTCTGCTTCTTTTGTATGTTGATGATATGGTTATTACTGGTTCGGATCATGCTTCCATTCAGCGACTTAAGCAACAATTACATGCCTCATTTCATATGAAAGATCTGGGTAATCTACATTATTTTCTTGGTCTTGAGGTTCATTCTACATCCAAGGGCATCTTTCTCCATCAACACAAGTATGCTACAGATTTGATTTCTATGTACGGTCTTGAATTGGCTAATCAATTAGATACTCCTCTTGAGGTTAATGTTAAATATCATCGTGATGATGGGGATCTGTTGCCTAATTCCTTATTGTATCGACAACTTATGGGTAGCCTCAACTACTTGACTATTACTCGCCCTGACATATCTTTTGTTGTTCAACAAGTAAGTCAATTCATGCATCCTCCTCGCCATCTTCACTTGGCTGCAGTTCGTCGTATAATTCGCTACTTAAAAGGAACCTCTCACCGCAGATTATTCTTTTCCATTGGAACTTCTCTTCAGTTGAGTGCTTATAGTGATGCTGATTGGGCAGGGTGTCCGGATACTCGTCGATCTGTTACTGGTTGGTGTATGTTTCTTGGTTCTCCATTGATCTCTTGGAAAAGTAAGAAGCAAGCAAGAGTTTCTAAATCTTCTACTGAATCAGAGTATCGTGCCATGTCTGCTGCTTGTTCAGAAATACTTTGGCTTTGTGGTCTTTTGGCTGAACTTGGATTTTCCCAAACAGAGTAAACTTCACTTTATGCTGACAATACAAGTGCCATCCAAATTGTTGCAAATCCTGTTTTTCATGAACGCACCAAACATATCGAAGTTGATTGTCATTCAATACGGTGACGCCTACGATGATCAATAATATCACTTCCTCACGTCAGTACTCAGTTGCAGGTTGCAGATATTCTTACCAAGGTTGTTCCATGCCCAAGACATCAGTTTCTTGTTAGCAAATTGATGATCCTTGACCAGCCGTATCAATTTGAGGGGGGGTGTTAATTAGGAAATAATCTTTGCAGTTATTGTGAATAATTTAGATTCATAAAATAAGAAATTAGTCATTATGAATTATAATTAGTTATTATGAGGTGTAATTAGTTATTATGAGTTGTAATTACCGACACTATTATATATAGTATATTATATATAGTATGAAAGACAATGAGAAAGACATCAAGCCAAATTTCATGACAATTAAGATTAGTATATCTGTTTATTTCTTTCCTTTGAGACTGATATGCATTATGAGCTTGTAGCCTTATATATAAGGCCAGATAGTATCATTGTATAGTATGAATTACAATTGCATAATAACACTTTTTCAGTTTCTTCTTCATTTTCAATTTCATCTTTTCCCGTCATGGATGTATACATTTTCTTTCACTCACTCACTGCAATACTGCAATGTATACATTTTCTTTCACTCACTCACTGCAATACTGCAATACTGCAATGTGTATCAGTCATAACCTTTGGTAGAAATATATTTGAAGAACGATGATCCAATACCTCTTACACCACTGTAGGAAGAATACTTTCAACTTTGGGTGTATTCCTAGAATGGTAAATCAATCATGCTCAGCGTGATATTAAATCTATACATATTAAAGACCTTGTTCCTGTTGATGATGATACAAATGTTGTAGAGAATGATGATACAATAGGGAATCAAACAAATATCATAATTAAATATTCCATAACAACAATTTTCCAAATCAGTACAAGGAGTCAATTTGACATAATTCACAATATCATGAAAAACCTCACAACAATTACATAGGTAACTTTAGGCCCCTACATAGCATACACAACCCATCTTAATTTTCAATGCTTCCCTAGAGCCAAAGCAGACATCACAATCAACACAACCAAAACAACCACAGCAACAAAACTTGATACAACAGCTCCACTTGTTTGTGCACAAAAATCTCCAAACTGATTGCAAATGGCAAGCCAGTTTGTGTCCTGGTTTCCATTGTGTGCCAAGTAAACTATGGAAGCAGCTGAAGCACCACTGGAAGTGGCCAGAGTAAGAAACACCTAAAATTTCACAAAAACATGCTTAGAACTGAAAACAAAAACAATCTAATATGATAAATATAAATGCTTACTGTGTCTAAGATAATCAAGAAAAGCCTTGGTCCAGCTGCATGGGGTCGAATGATCGCAACAATGGAAAATGGTAGGGATAGGACTAAGTAACCAGCTACAATAGCCATTGATATAACAAAAAACCTGTATTTTTTTTCAAGTGTTAGTTCATGAATATATAGAATTATGAATTAATGTTTTGAAAAGTGTAAGACAGAAAGTAAAGTTTTGAATGCATGCTACATACTGAAAGGTGGTAAAGCTATCATAGCTAGCTTCAAACTGGAAGAACTGAGTGAAGAAAGGTAGAGTCTGATCACTCATTCCCATCGAGGCGGCAGCGCCAAGAGCCGCGGCTACGGCGCCTAACCTTAGAATGAAATCCATTATGGCTATTCCCTTTTTCCATCCTCCTGGCCTTGCTTGTGCTCCAAGTAAAATAGTTTTTCCCTTCATGTTGCTTGATTCTGGTACATCAATGGTTGTTGACATTTTTGGCTTTAAAAATGAGAGAAACTTGAAAGAGTTATGTATTATAATGTGAATATGGAAATTGATTGATTGTTGAAGCTTATATAGAGAGAAAGAGTGGTAAAGTCAAGGTGAGTTGTTATATGATATAGTTATATACCATTTTCAATACATAAGAAGGATTTGGTTTGATTTATTTTTGTTCTTTCATTAGTTTTATTGGAAAAAGGACAATGGTTGACAATGTTTGGAGGGATATATATTGGATTTCTTAAAATGAGTCTGCATGAATTGTGTAGTGGTTGAAATTATATTTTACGTTATTGAATCAAACTTAAGGCTTTTGAATAATGAAAAAAAACTAGCCTCTTTTGTTAATTAGTCAACTAAACCATACGCACCTTCTCCCTAATCCATTAATGCATGCAATTATCATGGATGTATTGATCATCTTAATTCCACAACACAACTTATCGTGTATCGATCATTTCCATTATAGCATCAATTATGATAGTTTTTATACTCCTTTCTTTTATCTCCTTTTATTTATTTAATTTATTTCTCTTTTCTCTTTTTTTTATTATTGTTTTTATAAATAAAAAATTTAGCCAGGAAAGGTGCAACTATTTGAATAAGCACTTTTATGAGAAAATCGAAGGAAAGACTTTCGTTTTCATATCGGTTGTATGTTATTGTAACATCGAGTAGTTTGCAGCACCGTCTCAAACTGTTCTGTGTCAAAAATTGAAATGATATCTTTGAGTTGTGATTTTTTAAGGAATTCTATTTAATAGTAAAATATATGTATGGAGGTTTTTTTTTTTTATAATTTAATTATAAAAAAGTGTGAGACCCTGTATTGCAGGACATCTTGGATGTCCTCAAAAACGACTCTCTTATAATTTAATAAGAATTAAATTAGTTTTAATTTTATAATTCTGACGGAAGGATTCTTACACAACAACCATGAATCTCTCTTGTTTAAGTATTTATGTTTGAATTACCAACATGGTTTGATGCATTAGACTAATAAAGAATTAGTCAAATTTTTGTTGTAGTGGTATAGATTAAAGAAAATTCTAAAATTACATAGAAATAGTTTGGTAGTCATTATAATACATATAGGAAACAGAGAGAAGTGTGTAGAGCTCTCTCCATTTCTTTGTTAAAGTGTTTAAAATACTTTATATGGATATAGAACTCGCCCTTATATATATCTTTAAATAGAAGAAATGATATTAGTTGTATATCAAGCAAGTAGAAGCAAGTAAACAAACTTGCAAAATTTTCTTTCAAACAATAGAAAGTATTATTGTAATAAATGTATCACTGCTAAAATAGATTATTTGTAACACTAATTTTACGGCGGTCTTTTTTGTTAATTGTGATAATAACTTTTTTTAAAGGTTTTTTTAGATATTTACTAAAAGACATTTCACAACGGTTATAGATACAATTGTGTTGAAAAGTCGCGCATGGTCATGCGTTTGAATCCTAACACATACAATTTTTACTTTTTATTTATTTTTAAGCCACTTTTCACCACGGATGGAACTTTTAACCGTGGTGAAAAGTGGCGCCTGGTCATGAGTTTGAATCGTGGCACTTACAGTTTTGTTTTTATTTATTTATTTATTAAAAGACATACAACAACGGTTGTTTAAAGTAACCATTGTGATATGTTGATACATACAACAACGGTTCTTTAAAGAAATCCTTGTGATAGGTACAATTTCTTATATATTTATTTTTATTAAAGTGAGTGTGTTTATTAAGTTTCTTCACCATTCTTAAACAAATCTTTACCGTCCATTTAGTGAGTATCAACGCTCAAGACACTATCATTAGTGATCTGTGTGAAACCTAAAACTTAAATGAACTTCCAACTTAGACGAACTTCATCTTCTACCTCCAAACATCTTCTTCCATTTACGAAACTCTATTTTTCCACTAAATCAAGCTCGAAAACATCATTTCTTCCATAAACAAAACTCTAAAACATCATTTTTTTTTATTAACAAATTTCAGAACTCTATCACCTCTTCTCAAACTTGAATGAGAGAAGAAAAACATGAACTCAAGTTAGCAATGTTAGTTGTTTTTTTGTTGCTCTTTTGTTGTTGTTGTTGTTTTTGTTGTTGTTGTTGTTGTTCGTCTTTTTGTTATTATTGTTGTTGTTTTTGTTGTGTTCTTGTTATTGTTGTTACTAAGTAAGTATAATCAATTAAAGAAGCTTTTAAAGTATTCTCTAAAAGATTAGAAATGATCATTATATCAAATAGCATATCCTTCCAATACCTCACAAAACTCAATATAACATTTTCCTTTTTCAACAAAGTGGCATCAAAGCTTAGGTTTTGATAAGAACTCCCTCTATGACGATGCCGAGTAATGGAGCAACATCCTTCCAAGTTCTAAAAAGAATTACTTATGAAAATTAATGTATAAAAAAGAAGGCTTTCTTAGAGCACATAATGTTTAGGAGGTTGTTGAGGAAACAAAATATTTATGACTGTCGAGGAAACAAAATATTTATAGGCTCTGTCAATATGGCAATTTCAATGATCATTATTGTTAGGAATGAGATTCCAAACACAAGATAGGGGGTAGTTGTGTAAGATTATAAATTAATTTTCAAAATAAAGTATTTTACAAAAATTGAGTTTGAAAAGCTTTTGTAAAATAAACAGAGTAAAACCAATAGCTGTAAGAAAACATAATCGTAGTGGAAAGAAATGGTTAGAAGTTAGAGATTTTAGGGATAAGAGAAAGGAACGAGAATTAGAGGTTCGGTCTAATGAATTGACCTATTCCTTTCCCCAAAATTTTCTTCTTGAGAGTTTCCACTAGTTTGAGAGCTTTCAAAAAGATATGTCCACGAACCTCCTTATACAAGAATTAAATTTTTTCAATAGCTAAGTTATCAACAAAGATGGAGTTTTAAGTACGAAGACCTTCAGAACCAACAAAGGGATTTTAAATAACAGGCTAAGCTCAGGAACCAAGGGATAGATTTTAACACATGACTAAGCTCACAAAGAGATTGAGAGTTTTAATATTGAAGACCTCCAATCGATTTTAGACATTACAAAGTGAAATAATCATCAATACAGTATGCATAATCAATTATCATTTTATAAAATATCTTTCTAATTTATGAAACATTTCCCTAATCAATTGACGAGGCTTTTTAAACATTTATAGGTGATTTTCATAAAAGAAGATAGACTTTTCAAAGGGTTGAAATTGTGTGTGTGTGTGTGTGTGTGTGTGTGTGTGCGCGCGTGCACGTGTGTGTGTGTGTGTGTGTGTGTGTGTGTGTGTGTGTGTGTGTGTGTGTGTGCATATGTGTGTGATTTTCCATAGAAAAGTTTAGAGTTAGTGTTATACCTTTACAAACACTGATCAATCGACACAGATAGACGAGTTTCACACTTCCTTGTCAAATTATCTTTGACTTTGGAACTTAAATGGAACATGGAACCTCCATCATCAGACAACCCGGTTGATTAGAGATTTTTGTTGACTTCACTGAACACCGCTTGACATAAGGTATTGTCGCCATAGATAGACACATATAACTTGATCTCTAAGCACACCAATCTTGATCTCCATAAATTGATCAAAAAAACTTGACCAATACAACTTAGTTAATAAAAATTAATATTCAAGCACATCCATTTGATCACTGTATCAGATGATCTTCAGGCTTCATCTTGATCATCATATCTTGATCAACATATTTTGATCTTCATGCATCATAACTTGATCATCATATCGAGCCCCATCACTTGAACCACGTATCAAACACCATAACTTGACCACCTATCAAGCACAATCATTAGATCACCAACATATCAAGCACCATCACTTGATCAACATATCAAGCATTATCACTTGATCAACATATGAAAAATCATCACATGATCCACATATCGACCACCATCACTTGGTCGACAACATGTAAACCACCATCACTAGATAATATATCAAGCACCATCACTTTATCAACATATTAGATGATATTTATTGAACCAATAAGCCATGAAAAACAAGACTGATGATGACTTTTCTTAAGAGCGTTGCCATTGTCAAAACTATTCAGATCACTGCAAACTTCATACTTGTACGCACAAAGATCCATATTATCCTTCCTTTTTTATGATGACAACGAATCTCTCAAGGAGGTAGACAAACAAAGAATCAAGGGTGAAATAACTTGGAGTGGTTAAAATCCCCTTGAAAATATAGAGTATACCCTACTCTCCATGAGAATATACTTATCCCTTTTTGGAATTCTGAAAAAGGTGGGAAAAAATAAACAGATAGACGAATATTGTAAGTACTCAAGCAAATAGATCAACAAAGACACACCTACATTTTAGTGAAAACGTGTTTCATTAAATGAAATAACATGATTCAAGTATAAAAAGGGAAATAACAAGGAATAAAAAAACTCTAAAAAGCAAGAAACACATAAGTGAGACAATTACTTTGTTATCATTAATATCACCATATCTGATTACGACTAATTTTGATGTGTTTCTATTGGTCATAGCCATGTCATTCACCAATTTTTGAATATCTGTAGTGTTTTGTTGAGATATTTCTATAAGGTTGTTGATGATTGTATCGTTTTTTGTAGGTGGATTGACTAAATCTTTGTCTTCATCCATGGAATCATTCCTCAGCTCTCCTCAAAAGATATGAACCCTCACACTTCTAAGAGATGAGTGGTTAATCTTAGAGTAGATTTTATACATTAATTACTCTATAGTGTTGACTTCAATGGTAGCTAAAATATTGGTAAACAGAGCTTCATATGGTAACCTTACTGATTGAGCCTGCTTGTAGAAGATCATATGGAGAATCATCTCGTTGACCCATTTGTTTAAAATTGTTGGGTTAAGAGCCACAAACGGACCACATATTCTATAATGATGAATTTAATATTATATTGTTTGGGGAGTGTAGCACCCCAAAATTTGCTCATCTTTTCTCTTGGATCTTGGCTTATGTTT